CCCAGTGGGATCAAACCCACTATTCAGCACTATGGAATAAGCATCTCAACAGACCTGGGGTCACTGGGCCGGAAAGAGGCTCAATGGTTACAACTTGCACTGTTCTTGCAGAGGACCCCCGTTCATTTACCCAAATCCACCTTGGCCACTACCCAACCACCTGTATGTATCTCCAGTTCCAGGTATCTAGCATGCTCTTAGGGTCTCTTTCTATGGGTACCAGCACATACCCGCACACAGACACATGTATACATATAAACAGAAGTAAAATAAAGCTTTAAAACCATGTGACCAGGAGCCGGGCAGTGGTGGGGCATGCCTTTAATCCCAGCACTCGGGGGGCAGAGGCAGGTGGATCTTTGTGAGTTCGAGGCCAGCCAGGTCTACAAGAGCTAGTTCCAGGACAGGCTCCAAAGCTACAGAGAAATCCTGCTTTAAAAAACCAAACCAAACCAAACCAAAACCAAAAACAACATGTGGCCAGGACTGAGGCAAGAGGTACAGAAAATGCTGCTGGGGCAGAGAGAACCAATCCTGCTTCAGACTAGAGGTCCCAGAGGGTGTTAGGGCAGATACAGGCCCCAGGGAATGAGTTTTCTTTTGAAACTCCATGGTTCCCACCCACTTATTTCCAAAAAGACCCACACCTCATGCACACCTCAGCAACTGTTGAGCCGGCTCGATGGAAGCAAGGGTTCATTCATATGGCAAAGACGTGTCAACCGAGACTTCTTCTGGTTCTCTGTGTAAACTATAATTCATGCTAATATGGACCGAGGTTAGAATTCCAAACTAGAGCCAGAGAAAATAACTCCTGAAATCAGAAAGAAGAGCCAGCAATCTGGGAGCCAATCAGAAGAGCCGGCACCCTAGGAGCCTTCCATGTCCCTCGTAGGTAATAATGAACAATATCGCAGAGACGATAAGCCATCAGATGTGAGGTGGCCCCACAAGGCCTGACCCTAATTCTGACGGCTCCATTTGGTGAGAGTAGTTTTCCTTGCGGGACTGCGGGAGAACCATGTTTTTTTGCAGTCCACAAGGCAGTGCCCCACCTAACAGGAGACGTTACTGTGTGTTCAGAGACCACCGCCTTCTTGCGTCTCCAACAGTGTGCACGCTCATAGGGCTCAGGTTGAGGATATAGAGCCAGAGATTTAGCTAGAAACTCTACATATCTGCTTAATAATCACGCCTCAAAGTTTTAAACTGGCTACGAAATCCCATGAGCTGCTTCCCACACGCCCTGAAAACGATCCCTTGTGGGTACGAGGCAGAGGACCGCTGTAAGTGGAGAGCTGCTTGGCTTGGGAGCGGGACAGCTGAGGGCTACTTGGAAAAGTTAGCCAAACCAGGCCAGTTTCCAGCTCCGCCCTCATTACGTCGTTTGTGACGTTTGCGATGTGCAGAGAGGACAGTTGGGGTCATGGCTTTTGGCAGAGGCAGGTACCAGCCGCCATGCTGCCGATGGTTGCCTAGGTACCATGTGTGCCTGGCAGATGCAATGCCAAAGTCCAGAGCAGCTGGGGCAGCGCTTCCTCAGTTCCCAGAAGGCAGAAGCTGGGGCCTTGAGCTAGTTGGATTTTTCTGCTCTCTTTTCCTCCCCCGCATGACACTGCTGCCCTGTGCTTACACAACACCCTATCTTTCAGCTCTTTTCTCTGTTCTAATGGTCTCTTCCTGCCCCGCCCCCTTTCTCCTTTCTCCCCCCCCCCCCCCTTCCTTCATTCTGAGACGGGTCTCACGAAGCACAAGCTGACCTCTAATGCTGGCCTTGAGCTCCTCTTCATTCATGCCTGTGCCTCCTAAGTGTTGGGATCCAGGCGAGGGCCACAGCACTTGTGCAGTGCTCCGGATGAACCCCGGGCCTTCATGTAGGCTGGACGAGCATTCTACCAACGAGCCCCAGGCCCTGTTCCAGTGATTTCTGTCTTGATTCTTGCTAATTACTGCAGTGGTAAGATAAATGCCTACCAGGGGCACCTGTCCTGTTCCTACGAATGCTGCACAGACACAATGTTATTTCAGTGTTTTTTCCCTCCCCGCCTTGTCTGTGTCAAAAGCAAAACAGCTTTATATTCTGAGTAGAGGATGTCGAGGACCGAGGTTGGATTTTACCTTGTCTTCCTCTTTTATTGTTTTATTTCTGAAAACAAAAAAACCACGAGGTCAGATGATTAAAAGAAAATGTCTATTAAATCAGAAAAGGCACTGGAGGCTGAACACAGACTTAGAAAAGAAATAAAGAGAGAGGTGATAACTTGTTGGAAATCAGATTCTCTCAAGAAAACCAGACCTCCAAGGTGGATGCTGTGACTGTCTGTGCAGTCTCTTGCCTGAGAGCTGATGAACAGAGAACTGGAGAGGGAGGCAAACCCAGCCGTCTGATGCTTGTCTTTCTTCTCATCCAGCTCCATTCAGACAGGCAGACATTCTGAGATGTTTAATGTACATAGAGAGAGATAGATTTTTACATTTTTATTACATCATTCTTGATTGCAAGCACCTTTACCCACTGGGCCACCTTGCCGGCTCCTCCATTATTTTTTTTTTACTTTATTTATTTATTTAATTATTTATTAAAGATTTCTGTCTCTTCCCCACCGCTGCCTCCCCTTTCCCTCCCCCTCCCTCAATAAGTCCCCCTCCCTCGTCAGCCCAAAGAGCAATCAGGGTTCCCTGCCCTGTGGGAAGTCCAAGGACCACCCACCTCCCTCCTCCATTATTTAATGGCTCTCTGTGCACAAGGTTCACTGCTTCTCATCACTGCACAGCTCTCCATGATCCGTACCCTCCATCTATCCAGTCCTTCGGTGACGGCCACTAGATTATTTCCCATGCCCCCAAACAATGGTTCCCCAGGCTTCCATGTCTCCTCTGCATAGACCTGCACCGGAATTTACACGGGATAACAGGAGGGGGAGAGCTGAATCCTGGATTGTCCACTAGATTGCCCCAGCAAGGCCACCCCAGTCAACATCCCCACCCGGTTCCGCATCACTATGCCTGAGCTCCTCGACCTTCATTCTTAAAATAATCTACTAATTTTTTCTGATTAAGAATAATTTTTTCTGATTAAAGTATGTAATAGCTACATACTTTAAAATATTTTGCTTTTCCCTGAGAAGTTAGACTATAGCTAAGCTTGCATATCAGTAAGTTTAACCAAACACAACAGTGAGCCCTACAGATGACAGGCTTTTCAAGGTAAGTGTTTATCCCCATCAGAGACCAGGGAGTGGGTGGAGCCTTGGGAGGCAGCCTGGGGCCATTAGGCATTCAGAGTTCTCCTGTGTGGCTATGATCAGGGTCCCAGAGTTAGGGCCGTAGGAAAGGGGAGAAAAAGGAGTGGATCAGGAGGCTGTAGAATCTGGCCCATGTGGGGTCATCCGCTGATCCCTAGAGACAGGGGTTGAGAAACAGTCTACCCGTACAACTTCTCCTCAGTCCATTCTCAAAAATGAGGAAAACTGGCGAAAGTTAAACACTTAAAAACAAAACAAAAAAAACCCACTCTTGGTAGCTGTCGAAATTACCTCTGTAAATTCCTTACTCATACGCTCTCTCCTTTTGGCCTTTGAGATCTCGCTGTTGCTGTGTCTTACTTGTTGCGGATATTTCTTTTTGACCGGCCAACCTGTTCAGTTTGTCTTCATCAAAAGATAACTTTCCCTAATCAAGAACCTAATTTTGCTCTAACCTAATTAAGCAGGTTTCAGTTTTTCTCTTTTCACTTTCGAGACTGTTTCTATTGAATGAGGTACAGGTCTCTTTAGTCAGTCAGCCTCCTTTGCCAATTTCACTGTCGGTTCCTAGTTTGCAGATTTCCTCATTTCGGCACCAGGGAGTGAAAGCACCGCGCCCATACACAAGGAAAAGGACCACTCTAGAATCCATTTCCTGGCTTCCCACTTTCCTTCCCAACTATTCTCAGCCCCGCTGCCCTTTGCCTGCACGGTCAGTTCAACAAAGCACGCAGGGAATTGCACCAAGCTGTTTGGAAAGCCCTTTCAACTCGCTGAAGAGACACAGAGCCAACTCCTGGAGCAGACGTCTATTCGTGGTTGCGACACTAAGGGACTGACGCTTGAACTGGAACTCTCTCAACGGCCCCGCCCGCCTGTCCCGTTTGGTTTCTTAACTTTGATCTCCTGCTCCCACTGTCTGGCCCCTTCCCTGAAAAGTTCTCCCTCCCCCCACTTTTGCTTGATTTGCCCTTTAAACCTAGCCTGGGTATTAATTCCAGGAAGCCTCTGCCATCCCTTTTCTCCACCTTTGGGCTCCGCAGGGCCCTGAACATCTTTCTCACTGAACTTACCGAATTGTATTGTGATGATCAATGTTCCATCAAATAAACGTTTGGAGGAGCCTATCTTTCGCTGCCTCATGAAAGACAACACACAGCCTTAACAACCACAGAATAGATCTAATGAGCTGGTTACACCCTACCTACTGGGCCCCAACTTCATGGTTTTGGGGAAGTTTGAGGGCTGGTGAAAAGACTCTGCTCTGGTATGTCATCTGGGACACATTCCCAGCAGGGGATGAGGTTTCCTGGGCTTTAGCTTCTGCGGAGGCAGGGGAATGAATACTGCATATGCTTAAGTGAAGGTCAGGATATTCTGTGCCGCCTGCAGCCCTCCTCTTCCTGATTACCCTATTCAGAGGCTGAGATCTAGGAGGACAAGAGGGTGGCTGCCGGCAAATAATCAAGCAGTGAACTAGCAAAATAGGAAGACTCCTCCCGCCCACAGTGACCCTGCAGCCGGCTAAGCCCAGAGCTCTGCTGCCCCCTTGTGTCCAGAGAGAGAAAACAAAGAGAACTTTAGATCTAACGTTCTGAGGGACCTGATCTGGGGGGACACAACCCTGTTTCCCAAGGGCATTCTATCCTGAGGGCTTTTCCTGGAAAGATGTAAACCCATGTCCAGGCACCCCAGAAGGCACCAATGACAGATCAAAATATGATTTCACCGAAACCTAATTTGGCGAGAGCATGAGTGTTATTCCTTGGAAACTACAGCTCCCAGACTTCTCCTGGATTACCGTCACCTGTGTGCGCGCTGGCCGCGCCCAGGTGAGGGTCATTCCTCCCAGATAACCTTGCGCCCCCCGTTAAAAGCGAGGGTCCACGAGGTTTCGCCCTCTCTTGGCCTTTTTCTCCCCCTACCCTTGTGTGTCTCGCACGTCCCACCCCTTATTGTGTTCCCCTCTCCCCATTAAAGTGCACCCACGTGGGAGCCGCGTGTCTCGTCTCTCCTTTACGTGCGCGTCTCGTCTATCTTGTGTTTGTCCACACACCCATGCCACTGCCGTTTTTAAAGGAATAATATTGGTGCCGTCGACTCGGGGACTACTTCGTGCCGGATTCTCCACCCGAGGTCCGGGCTCCGGGCCTCTGGCGCCTCCCGGAGTCCGGGACCTCACGCCGGACACAAAGTCAGAACCGGGACCCGCAACCACCACCGCTCACCACGGCCATCTCCAACTGACTCGTGAGTTTACCCCCGCGGGCTTCTCCTTCCTTGGTACGCCTGGGGACGGCCGGCCAGCTTCCCCTGGCAAATCCGAATTGGAGTTGTCCCTCCCCCCCCTCCCTTCTCCTGGTCTTCTGCCCCTGGCGGATTTGGTTCCGACGCCACTGAGAGTTTGGTGCTCTCAGCCGTTCTCTCCAGGGTTTGGTGCCCTGGCCTTTTTTTTCCTTCTGTCTTCCTTCCTCTCTTTCACATCTTGGGCCCGCTAACGGACCCTTCCAGCTGTACGATCAGCCCCAAATCGGCGCTCAGCCCCAAATCGGCGTAACTGTCTCCTTCCGGCCAGGTTTGATTCCCGTCGGTTGCCGCCACTTACTGGCTCCTCCCGGCCAGGTTTCTTCCCTGTCGGTTGTCGGATTCGGGACAGTTAGTCTGCCACCCGCGGCCTTCTGATTTCTTGGGACGCCAGTAATCGGAACTGCCGTTTTCTTGGCACCTCTGTGTGCCTCTGGCTGTTGGCACCATTATTCCGTCATGGGTTCAAAGCCATCCAAGACAATTCCTCCTGGTTCACCTCTGGGTCAACTCCTGGAGTCTCTAAAACCCCACGCCCTCATTCCGTCCATTAAAATGGATAAACTCGTCCGTCTTTGCTCCAAGACGTGGCCCCGTCATAAATTGGAGGGCAATCTCCGCTGGCCTCTTCAGGGCTTATTTGACCCCGATGTCTTACGTGAGTTAGCTAATTTTTGTCATCGCTCAACAAAATGGAAAGAGTTAATGTATATTATGGGATTTTTTTACATGGCTCTAAAGACTGATCCGTCTACAGTTTCTCACTGCTCACCCGCTCACATGTTCCTGGCACTGTCCTCACAAGATCCTCCTTCCCAACAGGTACTCTCTTCTCTGGCTACCGCCATGGACCCGGCGGACGAGCCTCCTCCCCCCAGGCCTCGTGGGACCGCCCCTTCCCGCCCCCCTCGGCCGCACGACATCTTACCCGCCCCTCTTCCTTCTACAGATCCTAAGTCTTCACCCCGCGCACCCCGTTCTAACATTTCCAGGTCCTCATCTCGTTCCCCGCCGATGCGCAGACATTTTAACATTTCTGCCTGCAGGTCCCCCTCTCGTTCCCCTTCTCCGCACAGACATTTTCCCAGGTCCAGGTCTCTTTCCCCGAGGAGCTTCCGCTGCTTCCGCTCTCGCCGCCGTACTGGTTCTTTGTCCAGTTCCAACCCACCCTCACCTCACTCTTCCCGCAGGCGCAACTGTACCCACGAACGGCTAACAGTTTCTTTCGGCCACAGACAGCAGGAAGGACTTTCAGACTCATCCCAGTCTCCTTCCCCCCCTGCTGGTCCCTCCTCCTCGCGGCGCAAACCGCCCTCAGGCACTAAATCCACCCGCAGTCTGGCTCCGACCTTCACCCCGCCCCTCACTCGTTCGCAGAGGGGACTGACCCAGGTCAAATTAAGCCAGCTACAGTTCTGCCCTTGAGGGAGGTGGCCAGCACGGAAGGTCTAATAAAGGTTCATGTACCATTTGCCTTATCAGAGCTCTCTCAGGTCTCAAAATTGCTCGGGTCATATATTGCTAATCCTACCAATTTCATAAGGGAATTCCAATTCCTGGTTCAGTCCTATGATTTAACTTTTCACGACGTACAAACCATCCTATTCAATAACTTGCTCCCCGAGGAACGCAGACGTGTCTGGGAACAGGCGAGGCAGTACACCGACGAGGTACACCAAACTCTCGCCTCCCACCCTCCCGGGGCGGAGGCGGTGCCTGACCGAGAGCCCCACTGGGATTATAATTCCCCCGCCAGCATTCTGGCCAGGGATCAATTCTTAACCTGTCTTATGGTGGGACTCCGTAAGGCCGCCCTTAAACCTGTAGATTATTCCAAACTCTCAAAAATTTTTCAGGATACTAAGGAAAATCCTTCTGGGAGCAGCTCCATTCTGCCTGTAGATCCTGCTTCTAGACACATTTTTTCCCTTTCTTTTTAAAATTTATGTGTATGTGTGCTTTCCTGAGTTTATTGGCACCACATGTGTACAGGTGCCTGGGGAGGCCGGAGATGGTATCAGATTCTCTGGAACCAGAGTTACAGGCAGCCATGTGTTGTTTATGTGGTTGATGGGAACTGAACCGAGGTTACCCACAAGAACAGAAAACACTCCAAACTGCTAAGCCATCTCTCCAGGGCCACTCTCTGCTTTCTTTTGACAGAATCTTACATTATAAGACAGGTTGGTCCGCTACATGCTAAGAAGCAGGCTTCAGAATTGTGGAAATCCTCCTGCCTCGGCTTCCACAATGATGGGATTGCAGGCATGAGCTAACACACCCGGCTTTTAGCAGGAATTTCTGTTTCCACTCTTGAGGAGGCTGCTACAGGGTGGAGAGGGCCTGGGCTCGGCAGGGTACGCCCTGCTCTCCTGTTGTCTGTCTATGCAAGTTCAAGCTCAGTTGTTCGTACCAATTCCCTGTTCACAGCCTTCCCTGTTCTCTCTGCCTCAGTCATCCCCCGTGGTCCCCCTCTCTGATAATTCTTATTTGTGGATTCTCACAGAAAAGTCTCGTTATTTATCTGGCCCTACTTCCTTGTCACTTTGCTTCTGGACTGTGACGCAGTGTGATCTGCTGATCTCTTTCTTGGGCCACCATGGCTTCCCTCCTTGCTGCCTTCTCTGGCCACAACGCAGAATGACCCCCTCAAACTGCGAGCCAGAACAAACCTTCTTTCTGTAAACTGTCCTCTGTCAGGTGTTTGTCACAGCAAGGAGAAAAACAATGACTACACTAGCTCTTCTCAGAATTCTTTACACACACACACACACACACACACACACACACACACACACAAAGGCAGGCCTTGACCGCCATGTATAAGTAACATTGTGTATGTGTCTACCACCTATAGGCCATCGGGGGTGTGAGAAGGGTCAGTCTTGCCCTACAAACAGGTCTAAATGTTATGTGCCTGCTTCCTCACTTCCCTTCCTCCCACTGAGTCCTTTTGTTCTCCGTATATCACCACTTTCCACATTAGCCAGTTGGGAAAAGATTATGAGTTTGAGCCTCACCCAGTGAGGAACAGCCAAGTAAGACAGAGGCCATCTTGCTCATGCATGCTTGCTAGCCTGACTTGGGTCATGGCTCACCCTTTCTGTAAAAAGGAGCTGCCCTATTGGGTTACATTCACTTGGTTTGGGTGTCTCTTCGTCCAAAACTGAGCGTATTCATTTTCAATAAAGGGATCAGAATATCCTGGAGGGCTGTGGTCATTGCTGTGCTAAAACACCATGACCAAAAGCAGCCTGGGGAGGAAAAGGTTTATTTTGCTTATGCTTCCGCATCACAGTTCATCACTGAAGGATGTCAGGACCTGGTCCCTGGAAAAGCGTGGCTTACTGGCTTTCTACCCAAGGCTTGCTCAGCCTGCTTTCTTATAGCACCCAGGACCACCCGACCAGGGATGACTCCACCCACACCGGGCTGACCCTCCCTTATCGCTAACGAAGAAAAATGCCCTCCAGACTTGTCTACAGCTTGACCATAGGGGCGCAGTTTCTCAGTTGGTGGTCCTTTCCTTCAGATAACTGTAGCATGTGTCAAGCTGACATAAAACTAGCCAGAACAGCTGATGTTTCCATTTTAGAGATGAGGAAACTGGGGTTCTAAGATATTAATGTCATGCCGGAGATTGTAGACCAGAGGAGAAACACTAACGGTGAAAACCCACATCTGCCTGTGCCGAAGACTGCCACTTCAGTAGACAAGCCTTCAGCCTTAGGGGAGGTGACAACAGATGGCGGGGTGCACGAGCCCAGAAACTGTGCAGATGCCAGCTGAGCCTGGTGGCACAGACCTGCAATCCCAGCACTAAGGCAAGAGGATCACGAGCCCAAGGCCTTTCTGGGCCTCTCAAGAAAGTGGGTTCAAGGCCTGGGTAACTTAGTGAGATTTTTGTCTCCAGGTGGAAAGTAAAAGAGAAAAGGTTGGAGACATAGTTCAGTGGTACAGCATCTGCCTAGCCTTGTAGGGTCCTAGACTCAACCCCCTGGACCATTAAAAACATTGCACAGATCCCAAATTATCTTTAAAAGGAGATGGTGGGGGCTCTCCCCTTTTCACTCCGTGAGATCCTGTAGAGCCCTCCAAATAGGGAAGTGTGGTTTTATGTCTCTGGTCCAACTCTTTTCTCCATCCCCTGCTTGCAGTAAACATCCTATTTACCTGGCAACCACATATAATAACACGGAAAGTATTGGCCGCGAGGGCTCTGAATAAACAGCTAAATGGAGAGGAAAGTGAGCGAGGGGGTCGGGTGACAGTGGGAAGTCAATTCCTTGGGGTCCATTGTTCCACTTGTCTGATAGCCAGCGAAGGGCACAGGTGTCACTTATGATAGCCTCACTTCTGTCAGGCCATTCACAAAACCCAAGTGCTTGGCTGTGACGCTGTGTCTGGAAGGGAAAAAGAGTATCCCGCCGGGTCATGCGCAGCTCACGGGACACACTTACGCTCACGTCATTCGCTCCCTCATAAACTCCCAGGGTCTCCATCACACACCTTACAGGTGAAGAAAGCAAAACCCACAGGGAGGCGTGGTCACAAGAGCAGCTCTTGGCCACTGACGCTGTGCCAGATTCATTTCGTTTGTGCATCCTCTCTACGGTGGATGCCTGACAGCCCATTTGTCCTCTGCCTGACCCATGGCTTCAGAGAACTCAAGCAAGCAACAAGGAGAAACAGAGGTGCCCCCTGCAATCAGCAGAGCTCCCCGGTGAGCCCCATAGCCTTGGCTGAGGCCCTCCAGCGACTCCATTCCCTCTACTGTGAGTGCCACCGGTCACACACCCTACTCAGCCACCATGTGGTCATGCATGTTAGCGTCTCAGGATGTCATTTGGGCTGTATAAAGAAAACAGGTACTTAAAGGCTCCTCCCAGCTCTGTATTTACCTTTGAAGTCGCAGCTGTGAGCATCAGGAGCTGAGGTCAGTCCCAGGTGTTGTACGTTACTGGGAGAGATGCATCTGGAGAATGGAGGCACCATAATGGCTCTTTCTCATTCTCTGTAATTGGATGAGGTCAATGTGGCTGTCTGAGTGGAAATGGCCCCATAGATTCATGGGGGAATGGCATTATTGGAGGTGTGGCCTTGTTGGAGAAAGTGTGTCACTAGGGGGGTGGGCTTGAGAAGCTCAAGCCTGGTCTACTGGCTCACTCTCTCTTCCTGCTGCCTTCGGATCCAGATACGGAACTCTCAGCTACTTTTCCAGCACCGCGTTTGCCTACCTGCCGCCATGCTAACAATGACTGAACCTCTGAACTGTAAGCTAGGCTCCAATTCAATGTTTTCTTTTGTAAGAGTTGCTGTGGCCATGGTGTCTCTTCACAGCAACAAAAACCCTAAGACAGTCAGTAAATTCTACTCTGCCCACATGTATCCATCCCTTAGTTCCAACCTAGAGATGGGGCTTGTTTGTGTTTCGCAAATCGGGTGGCACACGCCTTTAATTCCAGTGCTCAGGCACAGAAGTAGGTGATCTCTGTGAGTTCAAAGCCAGCCTGGACTTCAAGAGTCAGTTCCAGGACAGCTAGGGCTGTTACATAGAGAAACCCTGTCTCAAAACAAAACAAAACAAAAACAAGCAAATCTCAATGATGAAAGGTTACCTTGTGGGGCCCACAGAGGTTCCTCAGGTTTGTTGCGAAAGTTCTGGAGTTTGCTGTTGCAATATCAGTGATGCTGACCCATCAAGAGCTGAAAACTCACCAATGATAAGCTGGCTGTCACCCAGTCACATCTGCCTGGATCTGACCATGTACCTGGGGCAGTTTCTCTGTGGCTCCAGGCTTGTTTCTAGCCACCAGTTCCTGACCCTTCCTTTGCTCAGGAGCCAGGCTCATCACCCTGTCCTGCTCCTCTCTGTCCCGCTGACCTCTTCTTTCTTAGTCTCCATCTTCCTGGACCGTTCTCTATAATGGTCCTGGTAAAGACATGGATGTAAGCTAGATACGCTGGAGATGCAACCCACATCCTTTCCCTGGTCCCTTGAGGATGCACTCTTCATCTCTGGAGACCAAATGCTCGACATCTTCCTCAGCTGTGTTCTCAGTTTACAAGAAGTTCTTGTCTGTGTAGACAGTGGCCAAGACTTCCCAGAAAGCCCACAGGCAGAGAGCAGCTGAATGAATAAATTCACAATAGCTGCTGTCAACCAGAGAATTTCTTTACGTTCACCAGCTCTAGAACATTCTGTGTTAATTATTTCTCTCCTTACCAAATCCCTGACAAGAGGAACCTAAAGGAGGATTTCCTTTACCTCATGAATTGAGTGCTTACAGCGCGTCGTGGTAGAATGGGTACCGCATCGGGGGCAGCTTGTGCCCGTGGCAGCAAGAATATGAGGCACTTGTTCACATCCCATCTTAGAAAACCAGGAAGTATAGAATACACGGAAGGAAGACCAGAAGATAACTCCCAATAACCCATTCCCTCTACATAGGTCCTACCGCCCAAAGGGTCCACCACT